AGACTGGAGAGCCGGGTCTTCTGCCTTGGGCAGGGGGTCGGTCTAGAAGACCTCCAAGGTCCCTTCCACCCCTTTCATCAACCCCAGAGCGAACGAGCACTAAATTGCACAAATTTAGTTGTTTTTTTTAAAAGAAGAGACTGGATAACCATTTGTCTGGGATGGCGTGAGGTCTCCTGCCTTGGGCAGGGAGGGGGGGGTCAGACTAGAAGACCTCCAAGGTCCCTTCCACCCCTTTCATCAAGAGTCATCTGAACCACACAATGGACAAGCATTAAATTGCACAAATTTAGTTTTTTTTAAAGAAGAGACTGGATAAACATTTGTCCGGGATGGCGTGAGGCTTCCTGCCTTGGACAGGGAGGGGGGGGGTCAGACTAGACGACCTCTTGAGGCCCCTCCCAACCTTAGGATCAAGAGACGCCTGAACAAGTGATTCAGTTGCATCCGCGGAGGCTTTTCAGAAGAGGCTGGAGAGGCGGGTCTCCTGCCTGGGGAAGGAGGGGGCGGGGGTCGGACTAGACGACCTCCAGGGTCCCCTCCAGCCACCGGGGTTCTGCCTGGCGGAGGCTGCTCCACGGGAAGGGGGGGGGCTGCGGGCCGAGAGGGGGAGGGGAGGCAGACGGGGGGGGGCTGCGTTCAAGCCCCCCCCCTCCCGTGGGACCTCCGGGCGGGGCCGAGCGAGGGAGGAGAAGCCGCGCTTGAGGGGGCTGCGCCTCCTTTCCCGACCCCACCAGGCTCGGGGCTTCTTCCTCGCCCTCCAACCATCCCCCCTGGCCGGCCACTCACCCTCCACCCGGGACCGCAGCTCCGACACGGTCTTCTGAACGGCCGGCATCTCGCCTCAGGCGCCCGGCAGGCGCGTTTCCCCCTCACGGGTTGGAAGCGCGTCTTTCCCTCGCTCGTGCGCATGCGCGCTCTCTCTCTCTCCCCCCCTTTGGGAGCGCTGTCTCTCCTCCTCCTCCTCCTCCTTCCTGAGGGACAACCCCCTCCTCCCCCCCCCCGCGCGGGGATGCGGTCGCGAGATTTCCTCCTCCCCCCTCCCGCCCACCCCTGAACACCTGCGCCTGCGCGCCGAGGCAGCGCGCGGGCGCTTCTGGCTCGCCTCCTCTTCCCGCCCTCCCTCCCTCCCTCCCGGAATGTACCAACTCCTTCTCTTTCTCTCCTCTCTCTCTCTCCCCCCCCCTTCCTCAAAGGCGGCTCTTTTCGACCGGGCTTTTGATCAAGGGAGGAAGGGGGGTCAATAATGGAACAGGCCAGAATTGGGGCGGGGCGGAGGCTGGGCAAGAAAAGGGGGGCGGGGCGGAGAAAGATAAAAAGCCGGGGGTTCGAAACCCGGCGGGATTTGTTGAGATGAAGAAGCCTCGGGGTGGGGTTCTTTCGCCCCCCCCCCGCCGCCACCATAGAGTTTGAAGCCTTTGAGCCTTTCTGCGCCCTGTAAGGCTGGGGTAGCGCCTGGATGGGAGACCACCAGGAAATCCCTTTGAGCCTTTTTTGCACCCTCTAAGTTCTGGATGGGAGACCACCAGGAAACCCCTCTGAGCCTTTCTGCGCCCTGTAAGGATTGGGTAGCGCCTGGATGGGAGACCACCAGGAAATCCCTTTGAGCCTTCTTTGCACCCCGTAAGGATTGGGTAGGGCCTGGATGGGAGACCACCAGGAAATCCCTTTGAGCCTTTTTTGNACCGGTCGTAAGTCGAGGACTTTCCCTGCCCGGGAGCGCCGCGCATGCGTGGTTCCGCCCCCTGCGCCGGCCGAGGCGTAGCTGGCAAGCGGCAGAGACGGAGCAGGCCGACCACCAGCTGGCCCAGCCCAAGGGAGGTAAGGCACCCGCCGGAAAAGGGGGGAAAAATGGCGGACAAAAAAAATGGCGGACAAAAAAAATGGCAAACAGCCTTGCTTGGCGACCCCCGTGAAATGGTCGATCGACCCCAAATGGGGTCCCGACCCACAGGTTGAGAACCACTGGCTTATAAGCTTTCGTCATCTGGGGTCTTCCTTCCTAAGACTGTTCATCCCTGCATGAAGATATAAAAGGATGCTTCAAAATTATACCCACTTGTGTTTCCAACACTTTACTGCTTAAACCATGTGGCTGAAACTTAGCAGGACAAGAAGCAACGGGTGGAAACTGATCAAGGAGAGAAGCAACCTAGAACTAAGGAGAAACTTCCTGACAGTGAGAACAATTAACCAGTGGAACCACCTGCCTCCAGAAGCGGTGAATGCGCCAACACTGGAAGTTTTTAAAGAAGAGACTGGACAGCCATTTGTCTGAAGTGGTATAGGGTTTCCTGCCTGAGCAGGGGGTTGGACTAGATGACCTCCAAGGTCCCTTCCAACTTTATTGTTATTACTATAAGAAGTTTTATATGGCTTTCAGATCACAATTAGGATTTCCCAAGGCCCGCTAATCTCATAGGAGAGAAAGAAAAACTAGATAGCAGGTAATGCTCAACTTACAACAGTCCATTTAGTGATCGTTCAAAGTTACAACTGCGTTGAAAAAATGATTTATGACTGTTTTTCACACTTTATGGCCCTTGCACCACCCCATGGTCACATGATCAAAATTCGGAGGCTTGGCAACTGGTTCGTATTTATGACGGTCGCAGCGTCCCCGGGGTCAGGCGATCCGCTTTTGCGACCTCCTGGCAAGCAAAAATCAATGGGGAAGCCATACCCACTTAACAACAGTGCTATTAACTTCACAACTGGAGTGGTTCCCTTAACAACGGTGGCGAGAAAGGTCGTAAAATGGGGCCAAACTCACTTAGCAAATGTCTCGCTTAACAACAGTTGGGCTCAACTGCGATCGTAAGTCGAGGACTACCTGTGCTGGCCATCCAGCCCCCAAAGCTCCTTGTAGCTTCCTACTTTCACGGCTGTCTCTTAAATACAAGAAAAATGCTATATAGCAGTGGTAGCGAACCTATGGCGCGCATGCCAGGGGCGGCACTCGGAACCCTCTCTGTGGGCACACGCACCGTCGTCCCAGCACCGCCTCCTCCCATGGCCCCCCTCCTCCCCAGCAGCCCCCCGGAGGAGAGTTGCCCCCGGGCGCGGCCCATGCGAAGCAGCGCAGCCAAGGACATGGTAGCCGGGTAGCAGGGAGAAGACTCCGCCCTTGCGCCCCTCTGCATGCAGATGATGCTGCAGGGCGCGGGTGGAGGGCGTGGCCACCCTGGGGCTGCCGGGCTGCCTGGGTGATCTGTGGCAGGCCGTGGAGGTGGTGGGTGGCCCAGCGGGCAGGGCAGAGCAGGGACGGGGGTGTGGGGGGGTGGTTTTTGGGCACTCGGTCTCTAAACGGTTCGCCATCACTGCTATATAGCTTTGTCCTTCTGAAAAGAAAAATTACAAAAGCTAAAGGTAACCAGGGCTGTGGAGTCGGTAGA